TTATCGTCTCCCCTGACTTGATCGTGTCCACCTGCGTCTCAGGTGTTCGCATACCTCGTTTGAGGCAAATGAAGAAATATGTTCTACGTGGTATGGAATTATGAAGAATAGAAAAAGATTTGCAGTCAAAAACAGAACTTATTCAATTTTCTAACATATATGTTGAGAAATTGAATAAGCCGGAAAAATTTTACGGCGACGAGACATATATGTCGATATTTTTGTCACTTTTTCATTATTGCTTATTTTTATTTTTTATGCTCAATTTTAATATCGCATGAATGATTCTAGAATGTAATAATATAGTAGTAATTCCGTAACAAAGTTTGATTAGAGGAGTAACGAATTTGTATAAAGTAATAACAAATAAAATTTTTTAATTCCCGACTTCCCCGATTTCTAAGACTGCATAAGTTTGAAGGCTGAAGTTTGATCAGAACTATTCACCGGACGAATTGTTCCTACAATTTTGAAATTTAGTAATTCGTCCACTTTTAAAATTTTTATTATGCTGAAATTTTTCTTACCAATTTTCTCAAATTCAACGTCGGAAAATCAAACTACTCAATATTAATTTAACTTTAGAAAATTATCAGATTTATTAGAGGTTTTCCGGGCGAAGCTATTTTGCATTTTGGTTTCATATTGGGTTGAGTGACGTCACGGATGACGTCATTATTTCCTCCGCGAAGCTCAAATCGTAAGCCAAAATGAAACTGTTAGCCTATGGAGCTGGTCCAGAAGATAAACTTTTAACTTAACTCTTGGCCAATCAGAGAGCTCACTCTGAAGTGGAAAAGGTTTGAATTTTCCTTTTACCAAACAGTGAGAGAAACTACATTTTGCGCTTAGTCCAAACTCATTTTAGCATGTAGCGGAAAGAGCTCTGCAGAATAATATTTCTTCATCTTGGCTTCACGAATTTTGAAGCCAATCTGAAACCAAAATGCAAAAGAGCTTCGCCCGGAAAACCTCTATTGCCAGAAACCCCTCCCCCCCGGCATAACTCGCAAAATGTCTATGAACGGTCCTTGGTCCATCATGTATTCTTATGATGGACCAAGGACCGTTCATAGACATTTTGCGAGTTATGCTCCCTGGCTTAGATAACTGTTTGAGAAATAGTTACGGAATTTGAATGTTCTAAATGAATCTGGTTGAAGTCAATTTGAACTAGAATGTTCTTTTTTCATCAAAATAAATCTGTGCATATTTTATTTCTCACGTTTATATTAATAATTTCTATTAGCGTCAAGCCCTTCCATTGGGTAAATTTTAATTTTGACATACACTTTTTATACCGTTTTTGCGAAATTCTGCTCTTGCCAACATCCCAGTTAATTGCATTCCTGAAGTGATTTTGTTTTTTAACAGATTTGAATAGTAGGTTCACCAATACTTACATTGATTTCACATCTATTATAATCGTTTAATCTTATACTTAGTTAATGATAAAAAACAGCCAATTTTTAATTTGGCGTCCAACTTAAAATAGTCGTTGTTATAGGCGTTAGTGGTGCCAATTTACGGCATTTCAGTAGCACATTTTCTGCTTTTATTAAATCCTGAAAATTACTAATTTCTATTGGGAAGAACCAATTAAATTCATGGAGTAATTACAATGTAGAAATTTACCAAAATTTCCAAAATGCAGAATATATTTTTAATATTACAATTAAAAATTGTAATTAAATTTTATCCACAATTACTGACGATTCCCTTCGCGATCCCGATTCCCGTTACACAATCATGCTCGTGATTAAAGGAGAAAGCTGGGAATGGGGGAACGAATTTGATGGTGATGCCATGGGAAATCATATCGTCGTCACGTTTAATTACGGGTGAGCGTAACCAGATATAAATCGACATTGCCGAGGGTAATTTTTTTGTGATATGTGGCATATAACTAAAAGTATTTTCTATTAACGTAATTTCCAGGTTGGGACATTTAGGTGGTGGGATTTATTTAGTTTTTTAATAGAATTATAGAAAAAGAAGGTAATTGTTTATTAATAATGCTTATAAAGGCTAATTTGTCCTGGTCACGGTTTCGCATCCGTTTGGTTGTAGTGTTTTATTGAGGATTTCTGACATTCTGACATTTTGCAACTAATATGTTTTTTATACAAATTTAATTATATTTTAAAGTTTGAATCATTTTGTCCCCAACTTCTGCAGAGATAATTTCATCATTAGATAACTCGAATTTATCACGAGCAAATCTGATGATAAAAAACAAGTTTTACATTTCTGCATGTAGTTCACTGTTAAAAATGTGTGTAACTTAGTGCTGAGTTACTTGCCAGTATACACTGACAGGGGTATTGGTAATTCTGTACAGGGTAAAGTGGCAAACCTATCATCGGGTTGCCCCAATACTTACTCTGTTTAGTCTACTTTGCTTGGATTTAATCCAGAAAGAGTTAACAATGCATAACTTACCCGTGGCAGAGTTATGTGAGTTGGGCGGGAGGTTGGCTCTTACACCACAAAGCAGCGCATTTTCCACTCAATCGCCTTCCACCACGCTGCGAGTGTAATTCGGGCAGTGGAAAAATTTTCATTTCCTTGCCCCCGTTTAACCACCCCCACTCAGAAATGGCAACGCAAGAGGTGCGACGACTTCTGCAGCAGTGCGGATTAGAAGAGTACGCCAAAAAATTTGAGGGTAAATAGTTAATTTAAAGTTGCAAATTGTCGAAATTGTACAATAAATTTTATTCTCATAAATGTGATTGCAATTTTCCCTCTTATTTTCAGAAAACCATATTACCGATGATGAATTGCTGGAGTTATCGAAGGAAGATCTCGCAGACCTCATCCCCAGTATTGGACATCGCTCAAAACTCAGCAAGGCCATTGTTAAGCTAAAATCAGGGAGTATTTACGTATGTTTTAAATGTACAGATAAATTTAGAAATTTAAGGCTATTATCCCTACATTTAACAAAGTTTCATAAACTAAAGCTAGAGAGTGAATATAAATGCCCACATTGTAGTGGTTCATTTGCACGCAGGGCTTATCTTGGTCACTTTGCGAATATTTTTAAACTTCATTCCCAACTTTTAAGTGGTGTATCACTTACTGATTGCCATACCGATTTGCTAAATCAAGAAGAGTTAGAGGAAAAAGATGACGAGTTTTTGTCCCCTCCTAAATTAGAAGACTTTTCTGGTCCTGAGTCAGTTATACATTTCGAATCATGCATTGCAAAATTATACGCTAGTATCTTGAAGGAAAGCATAGCAGAAGTAATTAAAATTAGCGAATTTCGTAACAGTTATAATGGAAATCCAACCAAGTACAGTCCGGTTAGGGATTTATTAGCCGTTTTTGACCAGTTTAGTTCAAGATACAAAATGGATAAGTATTTATTAAGTAGAAATTTCATGATTGAACCCAAAGAAATTGTCCTTGACACCGACATATCCTTTCAGTCTAGAAGTTTGGGGTCACGAAAGCAGGAATATAAGAATGTCACTATGCAATATATTTCTATTAAGAAATCCATTCAACAGTTGCTTCGAAAACCAGGATTTTTCTCAATTTTGCAAACTAATAGTAACTTTAACGGTGAAAATTTCTCTTGCTTCCGGGATGGAAAATTTGTAAGAGATTTTAATCAGCCCAGAGAAACAATATTTATCAATCTCTATTACGATGATGCAGAAGTAGCCAATCCTCTGGGTTCAAAAAGTGGAAAACACAAACTTGCAAACTTTTATTTCTCTATAATTGATCTTCCACAACACCTCCTTTCAAAATTAGACAATGTTATTCTTGTTGCATCACTTAAAACCGAGGACTTAAAATTATGTTCCTCAAATTCGGTTTTACGAGTAATTACTAATGAATTGAAGGAGCTTTGGGAGGAAGGAATATTGTTTGTACACAATGGTGAGCAAATTAACTTAAAAACTGCATTAGCTCAGGTATGTGGAGATAATTTAGGATTACATACTCTTTTAGGATTTTCCGAAGGTTTTAATGCAAATTATCCCTGTCGGCGTTGTAAAATGCATAAAAAAGAGTGCCAGAGTGTTTGTTTCGAATCAAAATCTAAACTCAGAACTGTAGCAAATTATTCGTTAGATGTGGAGATAAATAATCTCAGCGAAACAGGGTTGAATTTTTCTTCCATTCTGAATACTTTACCATATTTTCATGTCATTAACAATTTTGTCTTCGATATTATGCACGACTTATTTGAGGGGGTGGTGCCTGACTTATTTCATTCCGTTGTAAATTACTTGGTTTCAAAAAATAAGCTGTCGGTTGACAAATTGAATTATCGCCTAGAGTCATATGATTTTGGTCGCCATTACGGGAAAAGTAGGCCGTCACAAATTAAACCAGCATTTATGAAGGGAGAAACCAAATCTGGCCAAAATGCTTCGCAAAATATATGTATTGCTCTTTATCTTCCTATTTTACTTGGCGATTTGATCGACACTTCTGATAAAACTTGGTCACTATTCTTGTTATTAAACGAAATAGCCAGGATCCTCCTTGCAAATTTTATTTCATCTGGTGGGCTTGTTTTACTTGATTCTCTTATCGCTGAATTCCTGCACCAATATCAGGACATGATTCGAAAGCCATTGAAACCAAAACATCATCACATGTTGCACTATTCTTCCGCCATTAAGCAGATAGGACCCCTTCGTCAGTTTTGGAGCATGCCCTTCGAGGCGCGCCATAAGTTTTTCAAAACAACTGCACATGTCGTAGGCAATTTCAAAAATATTTCGAAATCATTGGCATATCGTTTTCAATTATCTCGTTGTTTTAAGCTGCTTTCTTTGGAAACATTTTCGCCACACTCATTTGCTTGCAATGATTACGAGTTAATAAATTTGGCAGACACGATAGAAAATGAATTATTACTGGGAAAATTTAGCAAATTGGCGACGGATGAGATAGTTGTGACGACTAAAATTACAAAAAATGGCTCTGATTTTGAGGTGGGTGGATATATCTTGTTAGATTATTGCAGAGAAATGCCAATTTTTGGTCGCATTGACAGAATCATTTTGGACAATGACGATTGTCACTTTGTAGTTAAAAAGTTTAGTAGTGAGTATATTGCTCAATATGCTGGATACAAACTTTATGAATCCGGACTATCCATACTTATTGACTCTAATGATGTAAAATATTTTCAATGCTTTTATTCTGCTATATCATTTAGCAATGACTCAGAGCATTTTATTATTCTGCCAATAATATATATTTAAACTTATTGTGGTAGTAAACAATAATTTATTGAGGGGATGTCCAAAAATTAAGATAATTTAACTATAAATGAACATAAGTTCATAACATAACGTAGGTTCACATAACTCCCATTTGCGCCATATGTAAAAATGGGATGTACATAATGCATCACGAGGGGAAGAAGGGTTTGAAAAGTCTGCATTTTTTCGTGAAATAATTTATGGGCGTTCCCTTCAAATTATTATGTAAGTTGTTAATAAATATATAATTTAGGATTCGCAGTCATCAGTTTTTAGCGGATCAATATTAGATGAAGCCGAAATAAGAGAACGGGGGTTAAACATTTCGCCAACATTGTTTAGCAAACCTGAGCGGAAACGTAACCCACCAAATTTTCAGCCAAGCAATTTATTTGTAAGTTAAATCCAGTCTTATTTCATTATCAAGAGCGCAAGGATATGATTTAATTGCGAAAGTTATTGGTTTGGTCTGTACTTAGGAAGACATATCACCAAATCACGAAGAATTGACAACCAGAGAGCCTATTATTAACGAGTCGTCGCAAGGAGAGATCATTAACCAAATCTCCGATCCAATTCCCATAGAGATTGATGGCTCATTTCTGCAATTACATAGTACCGATGAATTAGAATCTGGACCATTACACCAGGTGTGCCATCGGTTTGATTAAGCACATTTTAATTTTTTAGATTAAAGTCAATAGAAAATTGATTAAATTACAGATTAACTTCTCGAACAACAAATCCAATGTCCTGAACGTTCCGACCATCCAGAAAAAATTTTATGGATTCGTAAATGATTATTTTTTGCTATTTATTTTAACAGCCTTAACAATAATTCATAGAAATTAACAGTAATTAATTTTGTAGAGCATCCAGTCCGTGCTTTTGGGAACCGAATCCACTAGAAGAATTTTAAATGAAAAAATTCCGGCCAAAAGGATGCTAATCCGGGAAGATAGGATTGCAGTGACTAATGCGTTGGTTGATGCTTTGATAGCAAATTTAGGAGTTAGGTAGGTATATACTAGTAAAAATGAACCCTCGTTTTAATTAATTTTGCTTATTTTATCCCTTTAAATTCGTTTGATTTCAGTCCAAGCAAAGAAGCTTTACATCAATTAGCATTGGATTTAGTGACTAGTTATCCAGAACTAGGAGATTCTAGGAAGAAGAATTTTGGATCTACAATGTGGTTCCAAAATATCACTCATGGTTCAGGATCACCAGGTTATTTAATGGAACGCATTAAAAACCAGCGCAAGAAATTGGAGTCACGTAAAAACACCGACTATCATGACGAGACAGATATTTTGTCCTAGTGCTGGGATTCTGAACTTGATAATGGTGAATAACTAATTGTAGTAAATAAACATTATTCGTGCATATACATTATTACAACAAATCATAGATAACCCTGAGCCGGATGAAAAAGTTTTAGAATTTTTACGACAGAATAAGGGTCAGGATGTTCTTCCTACTATGAAATCTTCCACATTTATGAGGCGAACTGTAATTCGCGAAGAAATGCAACAGAACTTGGTAGGGTTTCGAAGGATCCCGTCAATTTTACCACGCTTGTTTGATATTAAGGGAATGGTAAGAATTATGTTGTGTACATAATATGCTTAATGCTATTTATATAAAAACATAATCCTTTCGTATTGTTCAGATTGTTGAAGACTTCAATTCGAGACATCCAAGGCTTAGTCTTGTGATGTATGAGCGGTGGCCGAAAGCCTCGAAATTGCTCCTCACCTATGCAGAGGAAAGTGGCGTTGATTACCAAAAAAAATTGGATATTCGAAAGCCAAGGTGTGACTTAACTGGGGGTGAGTTAACAACATTATTTGCTCTTCAACTATAATTACAATTACCTAGCTAATATTCAATGATTTTTAGATGACATAGCATTGATTGCGTTCAGCCTCCTGCCACATATTCTCCCATCCTGTGCTCGTAAAATAAACCCTGCGCCCACTGGGGACAATAATATTAGTCAGTCGGACAGCGGTCCTAAGCCAAAGCGAGTTAAGAGATCAATAAAAGCAACAGATTTGGATGCTCGGAATAGCTTGATAATATTTAGATCTGTAAGTTGAATGATTATATAAAAGTATTAAATTAAGGTAAAAATAACATGAAAGTAATAGCATTTCTTTATTGTTGCAGAAAAATACGCATGTCGCGGAAGTCCTGAGTGAGAATAAGAATGTTGCCCCCCTCATACTGGCTCTTGGTTCTACATACGATTTAAGGATTGAGTCTTACTTCGTAATTTTAGATAGGATGGCTATCCCTTGTGGGGATAGTTTCTTTGTAGCCTTAGATACATGCATTAAAAGCTTTAGTGTTTTCTACCTGCCCCCTCCGGTTGAAGCAAAAAATGTATGGTTATTTTTGTTACACGGTATAGCTGGAAAACCCTGCGATAACTCAACATTAACCCCGGTTGTGCAAGCTCTAATCGGCCAAATAATGCCCAGGTTGTAATTTTAACTAGTAAATTATATTTTATTAGTGAAATTTTTAATTGTTGCAATATTTTAAGCAATACTGTTCTTGTAGAATTTTAAAATTAATGAATAATTAATAAAATTCCATAAATAAATTATGTAAACAAAATTGAATGGATTTCAAATTATTTGCATATACCGCTCTCATAAAAAGAACACCGTACTGAGTAAGCAGTACTCCAATAAGGGTTACCGACTCACAGTGCCCTTGTGGAAGCGTTACTCCGCTGAAGGTAACGGTGTACTCAAACGGGGTAAAACGCGTAACTCTTTTGCATTTAAGCTCCCACGTACACCATAGAGAGTGCAAACACTATTAACTCTGCCACGGATAGTATTTTACTCCGTAGGGGTTTATTTATTCTTACAGTGTTGAGCGCCATTTAATCAAAAATGAGAAGGCTAATGTTAAGTTGAAGAGTTAAAGGTGCACTGTTTTTTCACTGGAATGAGGATTTGACCTTTCTGGATTTTAGGCTTACACAAATCTACTTTCTGTTCTGATTCTTTTTCCATATTATCATAATTTCGTGGGCATTACTATGGTTTGGGTTTTTAAACGGTGGCAAATTTGACATGTATTACTTATGTAAAATTTGACTCTTTGTAATAAGTAACACAATTTCCAAACAAAGTCAGGTGTGAATAAAGCAGCTAATCATTTAGTAACTGCATGCTCTGTGCTAAACACAAGTTAACTACTTGAAGCTCTATAAATTCATGAGATGACAATAATTCGTGTACCTTTTGATGCATTACTTGTGATTAGTCAAGCAGATTTACAGTTGTAAAGCGTTTTATATGCACTGGCTATCTTTGGGGTCAATTAATAAATTAATGAATATTTCAAGTTCAAATACTAAATTAGATTTTGACAATTTGCGCATCTTTATGGTAAGACAAAAAGTGACATACCATTAATATTCTTGCTTAAAAACATGTAAATAAATTGGTTGCCTGAACTTATTAAATTTGAGATATTTTTAGCTATGTAACTCCACCTGTTTATTGTCACTCATAATAAGGATTATGCGAGTGAACTAACATGTAATCGTTTTCATTTGAATGAAAACCTCACAATGCAAAGTTATTGGGGGCCATACTCAGATTTTCATGGGACCAATTTTAATTTGTTCACCAACAAAATTAAGCAGACTTCTTAAATACTTCTCGAATGGGCGGGTTTGATTGCGTTGCAGAATTTTCAAAATAAGTTTCAGCCAATATTGAGTATTTTCATAATTCTACAACTTTCTCAATTTTGACGCGATTTAAAAAAAATCGAAAACAGAATTGTATTGTTCATTTCTAGAACTGGAATATATTTATTTTTTGAAAATTACAAATTGTCGAGATTCTTGGGAAAGGATTGCACATTTTTGAATTGTCAACATCGAATGCATTTCATGAATCACTTACGGCTAGCGGGAAATGCCGAGTAAGTAATTTCTTCATGGGGCAAATTAACTAAATTTAATTTTGTGCAAATTTATGGCCTTGACGCGAGAAATTATAGAGGACAAAGTTATAATTTGTCTAATAAGAATTCAAAATTCTTGCAAAATTCCAACACTTGAAGATGTTTCACTTCACATTGTGAAGTTCACAATTTCGAATCTGAGTATTCAACTGATACTCGGAAAAATCACAGAACATGGCGTGAATATTAAACACAAAATTTAGTATCTAGGAAATACCTAAAATATTCAGAAAGTGTTGAATTTTTTAAATAAAATCCATATTTTGAGTGATTAGATATGAAAAATATTTCGGGCGACGTCATTTCAAAATCACAAGGTTTTTAGAAAATAATGTTAGCAATACTCTCTCTCACAGTGAAAATTCGGGAGGCCTTATACCGTTCATGAGTTATGAAAGGTCCAAAACGATAATTTTTAAAACTTCGTCCTCCATAATTGGCAACTACTAACCTGAAGATTGTGTAAAATTTTGGAATAAATTTCTCTACCGGATTCGTGGGTTTTGATTTTTTTCTATAATAAAAAAACAAACCGATAACAAATGTATGCGTTCATTTATTGACAATTTGTTTTGTTGACGAACATTATTTCACACATTAATTATTTCAAATAATGTAATGTGGAAATCTGCACAGGTTTTTTAGCTGCTTAATATAACGGCGCACATAATTTATACAATAAAGTATATAAGTTAATCTGAGAAAAAAAATAAAAAAACATAACAAACAATTAATCAAAACAATAAAGACACGAACAAACAAACAAACAACAACATTTACGAAAACTTGAATAGATTTGTGCGATTATTATCTATTAAAATGGTGACTTGAATTGGAGATTTTAGCTCAAATTGGTAGATCGTATCTGTAGAAATACAGACATAATAAAAAAATCCGGCTATTTATGATAATACCGGATTTAGATACGTATAAATAATTTTTGTCTGACTCCCACACCGAAAAAGCCAATAAATAACTTTTAACTAAAAAACATAACGAAAAGATCGACTCACTTGCAGAATGAAGTCCTAATTTATTGAAAAATTTGTCATAATGAAACTTATGTAACTAAATTTCAGACACGCTAAACAATTGGATATTACCGACCGGTAGTCACATATAACTATTCCGCGGTAACGTCGTCTGGTCCCCGTAAATATATTTTATTACCCTCCTTGTTACAAATTTTTATAGGTTGGAAACACATAACAAACTGGAAAAAAAGTTACACAAAGTTTTAACGTTGGCATCCAAAACTACCAGGTTTTTACAAAAGTGTGAAAGTAAGTACTAAAGTGCTAAGCTACAAATTCTAATAATTTTAAATCGTGTCAAATACACGGCTACTGCAATGAACTTAATTTATCCACTTATTTCTTGAAAATTTTATGGTTAAATTAAGATTTAATCTGATTCGTATTTATTTTGTAAAATTGACCTCCAAAACGTGAAAAATAAAGAAGAAATTGTGATTTTACAAATTCTTAAACCTATAAAAAATTGATCATAAATGGAAAATAAATAAATTTCTGTATTTCAGCATTTCGCTGTTTGTGTTAATCATCAACATTTTTAACCTTAATTTCACTTTTGAACATATCTATTTACCAAGAATGGTAAACAATTTCTACAACATTTTAACATTGACATGAAACTCTAGCATCATCAAAATTTCAAATATGTTTGCAAATATGTGGAATAATATTAAGTAAATAATAAAATATCGTTATGCTTTTTCGAAGGTTTCGTAATTTATGAAGGATTTCAACACTATTTACGACAGAATAAATCAGGGATAATGCTGTTTATGTGGATATGTAATATGCTTGTGCTTAATTTGATGATTTTGAGGTTAAGTGAATCATTTAACCAAAAAGCTCTTACAGAATTTAAATTTCTGAATAAATTTTACTTATGTTCTAAACATTCTACACTAATAACCATTGTAACGGGAATTTTTGATGGACGGCCAACGGATCTATTTACTTAATTTGATTTAAGTAAAGAATAATTTTTCAAAACGGTGATTTACAAATTATGTAAACGAAATTTGGCATCCTTCTCCACAATCTGGAACAATCTCCACAAACAAAACTTTATTCAAATTCATGGAAATTCATATAGAAATTTAACCAATGTAGAGGAGATATTACAGTTTCAACTTATTCATCCTGGTTTATTTAACTGAGAACAATTGACCTCATAACTTTTGAGGTGTGAAGAAGAAACAATTCCAACTGATGGATAAATTATCTTGATTTTATTCACCAAGCTGCGACCGGTTTCGCCGTCTGATATAGCTTCTTCAGGCTATGGAATCACAAATTTGACAAATAAGATAAACTTGTAAATTTAAGATTAATTATGAAATTTCAATTATAATTTTAAGTAAAATTACAGACATCATTGTATATAAATATGTACATTTTGAAGTATAAATATCTACGTCGTTAAAATAAGTGTAATTTACTAGAACACACAATTAAAAAAATATAGAATTACCTGCTGAGTGAAATTTTGAAACGTATTTATTTGAATTGGCTTTGTTCAGGCTGATCGTTTTATTACATGTTGCGCCTCGAGTTGACTTAAAACTAATATTTGTCTTTGCTTAATTTTCTGGTTTACAAACCTTGTCTAATTGGGTAGTCTTTGTGTATGATACGACGAAATTAAGGTTTCTTATTATTTCCTGGTATTACACATTTTTACCTTTCATTGCTTCCTTTACAATAAAATCCAAACACAACCTCTTAAAATCATACATGTTTTTGTAAAAAGGCATTACTATAAATACTTTGTCTTTTATAGCTTTATTACTTAAATTTACATCGGTATACTTATTTAACACTGCAGGGTTATTATGCTACAGATGTTTAATGACAAGTTGAGTTTTTGGTTTAAGAATCTCATGCCTGCTCATTTCCTTAACTTTTAAATTACAATCATGTAATACCTTCGAAGGGTATCCTCGTTTTTCAAATTTTTCAAATAACAATAATATTTCTTTTTTAGCATCTTCATAATTAGAACAAATCTTTTTTATACGCAAAGCTTGGCAATATGGTATGGATTCAGTGAGCGACTTTGGATGGTTTGACTCATAATGTAAAAAAAAATGCTTTTAGTCATTGGCTTTGAGTACAGTGATGTGGTTATCGTATTATTATCATTAATTGCCAATTTTACATCCAAAATTCTATAGAATTAAAAGCTATCTTAGTAGTAAATTGTAAATATTCATGAATGAAAATTGAACCACACCATTCCTCCATGTCTGAGATATCCGTGCTATCTACTATCTATAAGAAGTCCATCATCTACAAATCTGGCGTTGAAAACAATTTCATTGTGATTTTTGAACATTTTTTCTAATTCATAGTGAGCCGTTATATTTGCAATTGTGACTGACGCTGAATTCCCCATCTGAATCCCTTGAATCTGCTTATAGTATAAATATTTAAATTTAATATCGTTATAGTCAAGACTATATATCAAGACTATAAATTTAATAGACCCTTAATTTGCAGTGAAGTAAAATTAAATGGAAGATTTAACTCGTTTT